AACGTGAAGGTCGCCTACATGAAAGTAGGCGCCGCCGAGTGCAGTATCAAGGACCACGAGGGTGACCCGGTGGCTAAACAGATGCATGAACAATCTGCAACTTGTCTATGACGGAATGGAATAATATACAGAGAGGAATTTGGAGATATTACAATTGGTCGTTATATAGACTAACGACAGGCCCGAAGGCTGCCCAGGCTGCTCTTCCTCTCCTGTTAAGTTCTTTTCTCAAGTCATTCCCCATGTTCATCAAACGTCCGAGATACACATAAGAAGACGTCTCCATAATAGGGGAGCCTTCCAATTTCATTTCTGCATCTGCGCTACAAAGGGCGTTCCTCATGAACCGAGTATTATTTCGCTTTATTCGCAATCCGATCTTCTTCCCTACTTCGTTTAGTTCCTTCAGTATCGTCTCTGCTTCAGTGATTCTGCTGGAAAGAGAACGATGTCGTCCGCAAGACAAAGGTTAGACGGGAATTATTAACTCGTATGCCTCTCTCGTCCCAGTCCAGTGACTTCATCGCTCACTGCAAAGCCGCGGTGAGTCGGCTTACGCTCTTACGTAAGCTGCTCCACATTCTGATCGACCTGCGCAGAAAGGTTGCTGGTTTATCCCTGTCAAAACCTTTCTCTTAGTCGGCGAAGGTTAGGACGAGAGACACTGGGTACTCCCGCAGACTTCTATGACCCTCCCACCGCCTGAATGTGGTCCACGCAGCTGTCCTTTGCAAAATCCAGCTTGTTCTTGGGGTTGGCTTCATCCAGTGTCCTAGATATGCTAGCGACGATGATCTTCTTGAAAACCTTGTACAGCACACTCAGGAGGCATATCGGACGGTAAGTCCGAATCCTCCCCTGTTTCCGGGCAGAAATTCAACGGAAAGATGGTGGTCCTGGAACCGTGGACGCAGAGGTGCGATGGGGGGAGCCGAGCCCACCAAAAGTAAAGGTGGTCCCAGCTCCCAAAAACGTCGACCGAGGGGGGGGGGGGTGAAACGGACGAACTGTGCTATCCTTCTAGGTCGAACTGTGACCCAACGGCCCTCTTTAGGGCCACAGATACGATGGATATGGCAGCATAAATATTTAAATTAAACGTGTTCAGTAAATAGTGTTTTGAAGTAACTCAGCGAGACTTTACAGATTTCATTAAGTAAATTTTACTATAACATACTGCGAAGAAATTAGGCCGATCCAGGGAATAACCGCCGAGAACCAGAATTCTGAATGATAAAATAACGAAAAATTATGCGAATCTTCCACTGTTATAAATCTGGAGATTGAATATATCAGCAATTGCGACTTTAAGGGTTTTGAAGAGTAAATTTTGCTTTATCGGGTAGTGAAAAAATGGAGTTGATTTAAGAGATAATCTCCGAAAACCAGAATTCTAAACAATTACGCCATTTTAGCGTGTTTAGTGACTGCTGACAGTTAAACTCATATAAATTTTGAATGTGAAAGCGTTTGATGTTGCGACCTTAAAGGCTTTGTAGAGTAAGGCTTGCCTTATCAGAAAATGTCTTAGCCTTACCGATCCATTGAAAAAGCGCCGAGAAGGGTCTTGAAAAAGCAGGTAAAAAGCGCTTTTTGAATTTCAGCAGCTCATAGCTTCTTTAGAGCTGCACAAATATGTTGCGACTTTATAGGTTAGATTCTTCTCATCAAGAGCTTTCAGATGATATATAATATGTGGGGTTTAAGGTCTTCTACGACTTATGCCCTGGGGGGGGGGGGTGGGAGACTTTTCATCACAAAGTCTCCCCCAGCCCACATGTATTGGATGGAGGCCGCAGGGGAAACTTTGTTATGAAAAGCCTCCTCCCCAGGGCATAAGTCGTAGAAGGCCTTAAACCCCCACATACTATATATCGCCTGAAAGCTCTTGATAAGAAGAATCTAACCTATAAAGTCGCAACTTGATTTATGAAGTTCTCAAAAAGCTATGAGCTGTTGAAATTCAAAAAGCTGAGCAAAAATTTTTTTACAAAAGTGAAGGTGGTCACCCTGTATCAGCTCAAAAGTGAAGGCGGGGGGTGGGGGAGAGTCGGCTATCACCATCGCACCTCTGATTGCAGTTCAGTGTCACCCCCGCGTCAAAGCGGCCGACCATTGTGGGGAAACCAGCAACCACCTATACGCGAAAAAATTGTTAGGATAAAAGAAATGTCCAAATTATGGTATGGACTGCATTTCCAGAATTGAAAACATAGCTTAATCACTAAAAACATTCGAGTCGATAGATTTCTAGCGTGTTTGATTGAAATTAACTCACCTTTTCCAAACTAGAAGGGGTATTGCAGCAATATTGCGCAGAAGATGAAGAAAATCGCTCAGCGCGTTGACATTTGGCGTTTATCAGGTGTTTCGATTTGGAGTGATTAAACCTAGTGATTGTACCTACGGTTCTTGCGCATAGGACGAACTCGGCGTACTCGACCCCTAGAGGGTGCGGCTTCCTGCATCTCCACGCTGGGCGCACTATTTTTCTTTGTCTGCCCTGCAAGTGACGACGTTCATGCTGTGTTCGTCCTATGCGCAAGAGGACGAGCGCGTTCTACGATCGCGACGTCCATCAGTTTCACCAGCGGGCCGTGATAAGAGATAGCCTACGACTGAACAAGGCGCTATGCTTCGCAACTTCGCGATTAGCACCGGGGAGATTACTAGGGGCCCAGGTGCGCTTCAGCTGCAAAAGCAGCAATCAGCGCGAAAGCGCTACCGGCAGGGCTCTGCACGAGTCGGTTTCTAGGGTATCTGAAAAATGACGTCTCGCCTGACTTTCGGAAGTTTTATGAAGTCCCCTTTGACCTACCTACTTAGGAGAAGATGAAAACAAGAAAGACTCACTAGTCTGAAAGAAGAAAACGTGAAGTAAGAGTGAAAATCCAAATTGGAGCTGAATACTACGCATGCACAACTGTTTGGCATTAGAGCGCGATATTTAACAAAGCAATTTATGAAAAAATTAAGGCAAAAAGCAAAGAAAAGGCAATGATATGAAAATGCCTTTACGCTCAGGGATAGATTTTTGACCGAGGAATCTTCATGATAGAAAAATCCAAAACTTATGTGAAGTGACAGAAATATATGCTCCAGACGATCGCAGATCGTCTGGTGACCGTCTGGAGACGGACTAATTTTTGAAAAGGTAATTCTTCACATAAGTTTAAAAATCCTTTTGCATACTTCATTTGCAAATGATTTTATATGTATACAGTTCAATTTTGGTGCCATTTGGTTCTGTTTGCGCTTTAATCAAGCAACCTGTTTATTCTAGCCTTGCTTTCAAATCGCGCGCACTTTTCGCCATACACGATAGAGCATGTCAATCGTGTGATAACCTGTCCGAAAAGCTTGTGTTCGACTAAATGACGCTTATTCTTGGTGCTCGGCTCCGACTCGTCAAAAACGATATCTCCCTTGCTTTTTGCTTTGAAAACGAAGTCCAGCCTGCTTCTAGACGGTCTGTGCCGGGCCCTGGCTACCGGCTGCAAAAGCGGCAACCGGCGCGGTCTGGATGCTCCCTTATGTAATAGACACTACACTTCCTACTATGCTGCAATTGAAAACAGTGTCCGGCTAGATATGATACAATAGTGCCCATCCTGAATTGCTATTGCCCAAGCGTCATTGCTCCAATTGCTTGAGATACATTTTAAAAAACTCTGTTGCATAGCTGCTTCCTCTTTCGCGGGCCATTCACCTTGTCCGCTAAGATCCTTAAATTTATTTTTACCTCCGTCGATGCTAGATACTATATATCCTAAGTTCAAGGGAGCGCGATGCTAGTTATGAACTGAGATTTGACTGAGACTGCAGCTCTTTCATCATCAAGGTGCCATCCCCTCTCTGCAGAGACTTTCATGCGGGCCTTAGAGGAGTTTTTTTTTTACAAAACCTGCCTGTGCATAATCGTTCTCGACTCTAGCTATTACGAGAATTGCACAATTTCTCTTTCATAAATACAGAGTGTTCGAAAAATGTGCCCACTGTTTCATTGTTAATAACCCCCTTGTCATGAATTCTTTCGAAAAGCTTTAGGCACCATTTTGTAGAGCTGGCTTTAACTTAGATTCACAGTATAGGAATCGCTAATATATTTACTACTGTAAAATTGTGGTAGGAACTTTTAGCATATAGCGCCACTTTGAAACTGGCCGCTCGAGAAATTTTTTTTAAGAAAATCTGAAAAATTTTGTGACAGTGTTTTTAAGCAATCCGAATTTATTAAACAACTTTTTGCTAGTTCTGAAAGCTTTTCAAAGAACAAGTTTTCGAAGAGCGTCGGAAAACCGGTCGTTATGTTGTATTCGGCATAATTTATGCAAGAAGCATCACACTGAAGTGCTGTTTCATATTTGCAATCAACGACACTGACTAGCCCAGTGTGAGAGTTTTCAGCTCATTCGATTCATTTCACAAATGGAATATGGCCTTTGAAGACCCAAAAGCTTCTTTAAAGTTCCGACCGTAATCCTACAATACAAATGAGCATTTGGTGATTCGATCCATACTACAATTTCAGATGAAGCCAGCTCTACAAAATGGTGGCCCATAGCTTTTCAGAAGACTTCATGACAAGAGACTTATTAACAATCAAAGAGTAGGCCACATTTTTCTGGGACACCCTGACAGTCAGTCTGCTAGGACACAATCAATTGCTTTTTCAAATCTTCAACTTCTGATACGCTTGTTCATTCAAGGTTTTTCTAACTTCACCGTCTTGATCCGTACTGGTGTCTATCAAAAACATACTTACAATTATATATACGCCGGTATATTCTCACATTATTCTGAGCAGCACGACTCCAGTCTGCTTCCATATCCCAGCTTCGCGCCAAAAGTGCCGATTTTTCTTACTTACATCCCGAAGCTTTCTTGCGAATATGTCGCGAGATTTTTTTTATTGCACATAGAGCTCAAAGTGTTAAGAAGTCATCTGCGTCAAATGCGAGTTCGCGTCATGTCAGCATGAAAAATTCCTCTCAAGCAATAGCTTTTTATTGAAAAATTTCGTTTTACTCAAAAGACAAGCAATTGTGATAAATGTCAGTCGTGTTTGTTTTTGTCGAGATGGTTTCCACATCCGAACAAAATTGGCAGTGATGTCCCTCACACATGAATCGTGGATTAAGGCACTTGAAGTCGAGCTTATTTGTTGACTAAATAGTTTACAGAGTGTAGCAGGTCGACAACATTTTCAATTGCTTATACCTGCAGTTTGGAAGTCGCAAGTTTTTTATTTGGAGCCAAAGCTGCCATCAGGATTGCACGCAAGTCAGTATCAATACAGATCATTTCGCTGAATGGCACCACTGGCGTGAAAATAGGTGATACGCTAAAAAAGAGCAATTCTCTCGTCACCTTTGCTCTGATAAAGAATAGAAAAGGTAACGGATAGTCATAACCTCTGCGGGCATGCGCCGAACGCGTTTTACTTCATGATCGAAGAGAAGAATATTGAAACGTGAAGCCTGATGTGAGTAGCGTGGCAGGTGGCTATGAAGGCTTTGATCTTTGCACATGACTGTGAGGTCTCACTTTATCACGAAAGAGCAAAAACCTTGGTGGCTCAAGATCAAGGAACGAATTCTAATTCCATCGGCATAGTTGTACCTCACAAAACCACGCCGCACATCTCTTGATATTAAAGAAGTCTAATTGCAACTGACACAATAATACATTATTAGATTGACTGTTTTTTATAGAAAATTTCAATGGCAGTGGCTTTTTCACTATACAGTTGCGGCCGTGGCATTTGTCCAAAATTGCGGGGTTTTCGGGATTCGCGGGATTCGCGGGATTTGCGGGATTTAGCTATAACTTCTTTTAGAACAACTTTATAGGGAATCCGCAAAAAGATTCGGCTTCAGCTTGATGAGACGAATCTTTCGATATACAGTATGCCCGTAATTCATGGTGACGCGGTAGACCTATGATAAATCTTTGTTTTTTCCATGATAACGCTTTTTTGAACATTTATCACAGTGTATATCGCGAATAGCAGGTTTGGTACGAAGCTTTCATTATCGAAAACTATCGCGAGAAATTGGGCAGTTTTTATCTACCCTTATCACTGATATAAGCATTTTATCATTTATCACTGATAATATCACATTTTTGGATCATTTTTGGCATATGATAAGAAAAGTACTGTAGGAAACGTATTCTTTATTATAGAATATATTTATTCCGAAGGAAGTTGAGGCGAGTAGAATTTGGAAACGCGTGATTTTTCCAGAATTCACCAACGCCTCTATCTCTTTTGGAAAGAAGTCTGCGGCCACTTTCTAGCGCACTATAATTTACTGAAAGAGTACTATCGAAGGGTACTTAAATGTATCTTTTATGTTGTATATGCGCTGCGTTACACCCTTGCGAAACGACCTCCTCAGAAGAATTCGAGAAACGGAAAAAATGGAAATGGAAACGTAATATCGAGGACAAGCTGTATATGGAAATGATGAGCTGAACACAAAGGTACTTCCGGATTCAGAATATATTCATTTCGAAGAAAGTTATGGCGCTGCGTAATTTGCGTGATTCGCGTGTTTCCGCGGAAATCCCGGAATGTCGCAAAACTCCCAGAACGTTGCGGACTTTCGCAAAAGCCCCGGAATTTCGCGACATACAAAAAAATCTGCACGTTTTGTGAGCTATTGTAGATAGCAAGAAATAGAGTAGAGTATAGGAGAATTCAAAAAAATTTCGACACGGAGGCAACCGCCCATGGACGCGCATCGTTCGCGGGCGTGTGGACTGTGATGGAAGGATGCTTGAGCACGGCGTTTGCGACGTTTCGCACCTTAGACCGATTGCCTTCGTAGATCTGGATCTGTATGTCCATACGCAGAAAACAGAAGTGTTCAGCTCATCGTTGAAACTCCTGTTGACAGGCGACTCGGTTCATTCACAATTTGAAGACCGGTGAATTTCTTTGAAACAGTAACGTCTCCAAGGAGACGGTGTCATGCGCATGATGAGCTATCATCGATTGCTGCAGTAAGGGATCTACCTACTGCACCGAATGCGCAAATGAAGCGAAAAAGCCTGTTGATCACATACTATAAGATATAGAGCGATAAAAACTCGCACAGCGCTTACTAAAGTACATTTCTTACTGTATGTCAAAAAGATCCAATTTTGTGATATCAGTGATAAATGATAAAATGATTATATAAGTGACACAGATAAGAATGGCTTAAATCTATGCGGTCCATTTCTACGATCATCTTCCATGTAGGTGCGGAATTTTAGCCCAGGCTTCGGCGTGAAGAGGAGAGTTGATCCAAAAACGCCATTTTAGGCAAGAATTGGCAGCAATGGTATGTGCCGATGAGAAATCGATCGATTGCTGCAGCGAGTTATCTACCAGCTGCACCGAGCAGTAGAACTAGAAAAGCCTGTAGATCACTTATAATGAGAGAAAGAGCGTTAGAAATTTACACAGCGTTTCCTACAGTACTTTTCTTACCATATGCCAAAAATGATCCAAAAATGTGATATTATCAGTGATAAATGATAAAATGCTTATATCAGTGATAAGGGTAGATAAAAACTGCCCAATTTCTCGCGATAGTTTTCGATAATGAAAGCTTCGTACCAAACCTGCTACTCGCGATATACACTGGATAGATGTCCAAAAAAGCGTTATCATGGAAAGAACAAAGATTTATCATAGGTCTACCGCGTCACCATGAATTACGGGCATACTGTATATCGAAAGATTCGTCTCATCAAGCTGAAGCCGAATCTTCTTGCGGATTCCCTATAAAGTTGTTCTAAAAGAAGTTATAGCTAAATCCCGCAAATCCCGCGAATCCCGCGAATCCCGCGAATCCCGCGAATCCCGCAAATCCCGCGAATTCCGCAAATCCCGTGAACCCCGCGAGTTCCGCGAATCCCGCAAATCTCGTGAATCCCGCGAATACCGAGAATCCCGCAATTTTGAAATGCCACGGCCGCAACTGTATATGGTCAACTTTATCAGTGGGAAACTTGCACCGTCCATATGATTGTTAGAGCAGCATTTCTTGGTATGCACAAACTCAGGGGCTATGATTAACTGCTGAAGTATTCTAGAAGATAGCCCACCAGTTTTTGCAGAAGTGTTTGTTGATTTCCTTACTCGTTCTGACTTTTCGCTGACAGCCAAGCTTTTCAATTTGCTATCCTCATACCCGGCGATTACCGGGTCAGGGTCAAAGGTGTCGATGCGATCCGGGATCTCATTTACAACCCCCCCCCCCCCCACGAATGTCAATTTCAAAAGATGCCTGCCAATGGACCTCAATCAAAATTTTAGATTTAGAGAAAAATAAGTGCTTATAAATTGGGAGGCAATGCAAGTGATGCTCTACCAGTCAAAAATCTCATTAAGAATTATGCATAGATTGGGTAAATAAAATTTTATAAAGATTTGGCTATGCTTATTGCGGTCGGGAAATTGTGGATGGAAAGGACATCATCTGACAAAACAAAACATCAATTTTGATCTGAATGATATATTCAAGCTGTACTTTACCTAGACGCTAAAAATGATATAAAATAACGATCAAGGAAAATTCAGCATTATGGAATGCTACTTCAATCATGATGATTGGTTATTTTATAATAACTCATTTTCTGAGGACAATAAATTCTTCTGTCATTCAAGCATATTTGGCATAACTCATTCATGTGTACCGAAAGATATCGACTATAGTTTTGGAAATTAGAACGTTTTAGATTGTTATGACAGTCTCATGTTCTAATCCCATACGCGACACCATTTTCCTTGGCAGGGACAAAAAACGATATCTCTGAAGACTCAAAGATACTCTCAGTTAAAAATCTTACTTTCTACTTTTTGCACAGATTTTCCTTCGAAAAAAAAACTTTTCCGTTATCCAGAACGATCTCAAAAACGTGCATGAGCACGGTACCACGAAAATTCATAACTAAATTCAGACAAAGATTGAGAGGCTGCAATGAATAGGCTGTGTAGTACAGTGCCCAAACTATCCAACTATCCATGGAAAAAGTTTCAGCCATTAAAGAGCAATGAGCTCGAAGAAAAAATCTAGATGCGACTCTCGCAATTTTAGAGGCGTCCTTAAAAACAAAAACTGGGATTTTTTTAGCTCAAAATTTTGTAACTCACCGGAGAAATTATAAAATAATCCGAAATGCTGAAGATAAAAAGCAGGAGGATGGACACGTATTATAGCACAATTGCAGCCAACAAGCTTCAATAGCTGCCGAGAAATTTAGCTGCCACCCAAATAGACCCCCTTAATTTGGTTTTTGTCGCCATACATAAAATTATAGAAAAATCCACAGATTACAAAATAAGACCAGATTCTGCAATGTAGCAGAGCATCTCCAAAGTACAGATAAAATGGATAGGCCCTTGAAATTTGTTACAAAAAGATTTGATCATCGATGGTCATCATCGGCAAAGATATTCGGTTTTGTCGAGTGTTTGAGACTTCAGGGAGGTTTCGGAAGCAAGATTTTTAGGCCAGTCGGTATTAGAGTTTTTATCAAATCATGCATCCTTCAAAAGTGTTTTGAGCTCTTGGTTTTTTTTTCTGAGAATTCCTAAAAAAAATCTTTATTATTCTGATTTCTACTTTTATATAAATTTGTTGTAAAACATATACTAAGTATCTGCTTCTTAACTTCCTTCTAAGCTTACGGTTTTTAGTCAAACTACTTCCTTTTACGATCCATCTCCCCACCTTAGGTGCCCCCTTTACGATCCCTCGTTGCGACAGTCGCATCACACGCTTAACCCTCTACCGAATTAATGACAGAAAGTTTCTGCAGAAGAGGATAAAAGTTTTCTGCTCTCCAGGGTTGATTTTTGGGATTAGCATATATGACTAACTTCAGAGAAGCAGAAGATTCGTAATCGAGGTATTGCCGTTCAAAGCTGACTATCAGACCGCCCACACCACCCCTTAATGATTTTCATTTGCTTTTTGTGATCAGTGAAAGCTAGCTGGTTATTCATCGGAGCATCGCAGGCGTTACATTTGCTTCTGCTTAATGTCAAGCAGAGGTAAAGCATAAACGATCTTGAAAAAGATCGTTTATGCTTTACCTCTGCAAGAAATGCTTTAAGTTTAACAGATATTTTTTTGGTAAAATCCTGCATGTAGAAAATTTTTGGAGCCTTTTTTGGGACATGGAAAGGGGGAAAAGAAGTAGTAAGATGGGAGAGAAAAAGTAGCACATTTTTCTCTTGAAAAGTCTTCAGCGAGCAATTGTCTGTTTCATTACAAACCACATACACGCGACTATAACCGTGTTCTGACATGCATCAACTCAAATCGGATAATGCGTGGTTGTAATGTCGCATATCGTCTACTCTAGCGAAATCCCCATAGGAACTACTGCTCACGTGCTCAATTCGCTGCTTTCTGTCGTTTCGACACGTTCATTTAGAGCAGGCGACTTATTTGCTCTCAAAGTGTTGAAAAGGGAAAAAGACAATGAGCTGGTACTGGTAGATACTTTTTACTTCAACCAAATCAGCCGCTGGAATGCGTAGCGTCATGACCTAGGATGCGACTGCTCGCGTCCGCGACGCAGCCTGCGCCTCCTTCGCGAACACGCTCTTTAATCATTTTCTAGCCTTAAATAGGTCAGGGAACCCGCCCAGCCGCCGATTTGGTTGAAGCAAAGGGTACCCATAGAAACTTTGCTGGGCGCAGACGATACTAGGATCATCAGTTTTACCATATTATTATCACTAACAAGGGAAGCTCGCTTAGTCGAGGTGGCGATTCGGAAGGAGATCTGTACCGGTGGATAGAGCTCAAAAAGCTGATCTCAGATATACGTTCTATATCTGCGATGCTCTGCTCTGAAAAAAGTTATGAGCTTTTCTAAATCCAAATTTTCGTGCATTTTGAGTCGCAAAATCATGATAATCGCTACACAAAAGTGTGTAAGCTTGAGCAAACCACCTTGTAAGCATTTCAGTTCTAATTCGAGTTCATCCGAACGCTTTCGAATGTATTTCGACCATGTTGTTCATCCGCAGGTCGTCTTTTCATTTCTAGATCACACTTCCATTATGTATACAAAGAAGCCCCATAACCTCCATTTAGAAAAACGCGTCGCGTCGGAAACTTTTTGGAAGCGACCAGTGGATAGAACGTAAAACGACGTTCTCATATATATCTTCAATATCTGCGACGCGCTTTTCTAGACGGAGGTTATGGGCTTTTTTTGTATGCATAATGGAAGTGTGATCTAGGAAGGAAATGAAGGCCTGTGAATACATAACATGGTCGGAAAACACTCGAAAACGTTCGGATGAACTCGAATTAGAACTACAATGCTTACTAGGTGGTTTGCTCAAGCTTGCACACTTTTGTGTAGCGATTATCATGATTTTGGGACTCAAAATGCACGAAAATTTGGCTTTAGAAAAGCTCATAACTTCTCCCAGGACAACGCATCGCAGATATAGAAGGTATATCTGAGATCAGCTTTTTGAGCTCTATCCACTGGTATAGATTTCCTTCCGAATCGCCACTTCGACTAAGCGAACTTCCCTTGTAAGTCGCAAAGTTCGTACCTCTTTGTTGTTAGAGCAGCACGCAAGTATTGTTTCTGCACATTCCATTGCACTGCAATTTCCTTGTCGAATTCGATGACTTTGAAGAGGATCATGTTCTTCATGCGCTGTTTCATCTCTTGTAGGCGAGGATTCAGACTGTTTCTTATTAACTTGTACCTTAATAAGTTAAATCCTAAAGCCATATGTCTAATGGCGAGCTGGTCTGATTCGCGAAGGGAGCGCAAAGGTGCCCAGTGTATTTCTTGTCTTTTGTTTTTATACTGCCTGTTAATTGATAGCATGGAATGGTCAGAACTCAACCCAGCCACGCCAATCATGTTGTATATCATCGGACTCATCTTGAGACGCTGATCACAAATATATGATTTTTATCTGCCAAGCGATTATCTGGGATGAGTTGTGAGCGTTTGAATGTGCGATTTGTCAAGTATTCTGTGGCTAATTTTTCGCGAGATAGGTTTCAATAACACTTATTCAAATTTTTGGTGAATGTGCTTCTTCCTTGTCATTAAGGCAACCATAGCCAGTGTAAAACTGCGCCATTAGGCTGTCTTCTACGGAAATATATTCGTCGAAATACGAAAAATTTCTCATATTTGAACGCTTATAACTCTTCCCAGACGGTCGCTTGGCAGATAAACAACATATAGTAAAAATCAGCGTTTTCGGACGAGTGCGATGGTATATAGCCTGTTTAGAATGGCTGGGTTAAGTTTCTGACCATTTCCTCGTTATCTCGCAAACCTCTAAATCTAAATACTTATCCAGAGAGCTGGCTTCAGCCTAGATCTATAGTATAAAGAAATCACCGATTGGTGATTTGCTGTGGGAATGTTTCAGTAACTCCAAAAACTCACAAAAGTTGTGCCAAAAAGTTCTCACGTTTGAGCAAGGAACCTCTTGCGTCGTGAAAGTATGATCAGACGGATGAGTTTTCAGATCACTGTCCCACACTAACGAAGAGTAAGCGATGATACGTTTTACATTGCAAAATTAAGTTTAAGCAACAGTTGACGAACATGAAAATGTCTGCAGAAAACATTGTGATGAGATTTCAACGATTAAGCAGTGTTAAAGGCAGTGGATCGGCAGATTGAGACCCGTGCCAAAACAAGCTCACAGGATAGGAGTCCCCATTATGGAATCTATGGGCCAAAGTTCGATCTTTCTCTGCCACTTCTAACCCCGAAATTTCAAAGCAAAGCAGCGCTCTTCTCCTAGCAGCGCTCACATCGCCCACCCCACGGGCTGAACGCGAATCCTGCCATGGCGAAGACGCAGAGTCGTTGCGAGACCCTCATGCTTATAGCATTGCGGCATGCGCGCTCTAACCGTGGAAGTCACTCGTCCATGGGGTGGGCGGGGTGAGCGCTGCTTTCGCTTTGAAATTTCGGGGGTTAAAATTAGCAGAGAAAGATTGAACTTTGGCCCATAGGTTCCATTATGGGGGCTCCTATCCTGTGACCTCGTTTTGCCACGGGACTCATTCTGCCGATCCACTGCCTTTAAGAGTCAGGATAAAGAGCAAACAGATACCGCTGAAACAAATTTGCCTTTGCCACTTTCATATATTATTAGGTTGTCAAAAAGAATAATGTCGTTTTTTTCGGAATTTTTCGGGTGAAATTGATATCTCGAGAACTAGAGCATATCCAAGGCCAAAATTTTACAGTTAAAGTTATGAAGCTCGTTATGAAACTCTGTAGTATACAATGGCATATGAGTAGAAGGGGCCCAGTACTACTAAGGGCAGAGTCTGCCGTTTTCCATTTTTCATTTTTTTGGTTTCTAAACATAGAAAAAATATAGCAAGTGTAACTATGGATAAGTACATGTGTCTTTTATTAGGTTGATGCAAAAGTAATGCGCGTTTTTCTGACCCTTGTTTCAAGACAACTTTTATCGATCAACCTTTCTGCTTTGGAAAAAACTTAGCAACCATCAAGAAGCTCTTTTCATGCTCTATATAATAGTGGTTGAAACGGCCTTCTAGCCTCATTCGTTAAAAATTTATAGAGCTTCACACAACCGCACTCGAAACCACAGTTTTATTGCATCTACTTTTCCGGCCGTAATTCAAGCGCGAGTAAAGGCATTCTCTTGAAAATTATGTGAAAAATTATGAGACTTATGTGATGGAAATTGTCTACATTATACAAACTTTGCCACATTTCCTGAGATTACCCAAACTGAGATGTCGACACCTCAACATGTAGTCGTTGCATTCATTCTCCGTTTTATGGATTTGTACTGGAGAAAGCAAATGCCAAACTTCGCTCATTTCTGTAAGCTAGGGCCTCCTTTTGACAGTTTTTTGCAAAAACTTATGACCGTTCAGTGCGCAGAACAAAAAATCCCATAATTTGGGACTTTGGATTCTATAAAAAAATGTTGAAAAAAGGTAATTTGTTTTTTGATTTTTTCCTTTCGGCAAACCTTTTTCGTCCAAACCTTCCAGCTCCATTTGTACGATAGACTGTCGGCTACAATATAGGCCACTTATCGTTTACACTGACAAATTTTGAGGGGAGTTATGAAAAGTTGAAAACAAGTTTTTAGAAAAAAAAACTTTTGTTTGTCAATCCATATTTTTTGCCCGTTGGTGGTATGGGTATAAGGGGATGTGGGCTGTATTGAAAACGGTTCGCTGCCTTAATGGTTTTTATCGCATTGAAAAATATACATTTTTTTCTAGAAAGTCATGGCACGTCAAAGTGAGAACTCGCAGAACGCGCATTACTTTTGCCCCAACCTAATACATGCAGGAGCAAGATTTTCAGGATTTTCTAGGGCGAAAACCAATTTTTGGCTTCACGAGTTGCTCATATTTTTTGGCTCTGAACTTTGCGTAAACAGTAACTTCTGCCAACGTTCGGAACTCATCTTGTAGAGCTTCCTTTGCTCTATCGATTGGTACCCTTCACATATTTTTTTGGATTTGTCTTATGGCTCTGCTATGAAAAACGACTTTATTTTCTTGAAACCTGATACGATCTTTCCCTTGAATGCGCTAAGTGCGCAGATAGTTCAAGTAGGGCGCGCTTTCCTTCAAGGGCGGCTTGGGCTACATCGTGGGCCAATAGTGCTACGTCGCAAAGGAGACAAGGAGATACTAAAATTTTTACCATATACTGAACCTTAAAGTGAAACATATAAGGCTTATGAAAAAAACTAAGTGAACTGAAAAGTCACCCTTAGGGTAGCATTGGGATAGTATCCGCTTGGAGAAAAAAGTTGAGAAGGCTTTGCGTTCACTAAGTTTTCCGTATAATTTCGTGTCTTGTTCTCAACCCACAAGGCGCGTCTGCACACATACATTTTTAAAAAGCATATCGTTGTGCGTCGCAAATGAGTCTTTTTTCAGCATTTTGTCATGTCTGCTGCATATGTGTGTTTCACCGCCTGTGCTCTTGAATGCCATGATAACCTTGGCCTTCTGGATCTGAGTGCAGGGCTGTGCTTGACGTTTTTCGGCCTTGGCGCTTGCTGAAAGGGATGAACAAGCGATTTCCGTTAACTGAGGCGCGATTGCCTGTCTGAGCCAATTTGCCAATTGCCGCCAATAGCGGAAATCTCTTCTCCAGCCTCTCTAGCATCTCCAACTTTGGAAAACGTCACTAAAGCAAATTTCCAACTTCGATAAAATTTAATTAGTACTGAACTCAGCGCGTTAGAAGGCCAAAGAAGGATGAAAGACTCGCAGTCGCAATTTTTCCGAACTGCCCCTTAAGGAGTCTCCAACCAAAATTCATGCATCCTGGATTACTAGCTGGTTTAAAAGCAGACCTTAGAAGTACACCAACTGCGCTGGTTCAGCCCTAATGTAGAAGGAAATAGAACTGCAAGTCGGGAATGCTTTTAAGGCTCAACCCCCTCTTTTAAAGTTCCGCCTATTCAGGGATTGCTTCAAGACAGGTTCTGACAAGGCAGTCGAGCCAAGAATCTTATTGTGCAACGCGAGACTGTTGCATAAAACGAGATTTTCCTTGCAAATGGATGGGCAAGTCCCGGAGCACCCGTCCACTTCTGCAAGAATCGGTTCTAGGAAAGGGGTTCTCGTAATTTTTACGCAAATTGCATATATCCGAAATAAGGGACATGAAAAAGCTCGAGATCGACAAAAATCGAAAAGCCGGTGTTTTGATTGAACGCTGCCTTTGAAGGCAGTGCTCAGGAAAGCTGAACGACTGTGATGTGGTTTGCTCACACCTCATATAAGAAAGCTAGGTCCGGTCGTAGAGCATGCTTCCGCTGCCGAGAAAGGTTGCCCTCAAACCCGTGCGCGCAGGCCAGCTTTGTGTCCATCTTGACATTCGCTACCTTTGTGCCATGCCCTGTTTCCAGACTTTCAGGTGACCTTGCTCGTTGATGTGGATTTGGAACAAAGAAAGTAGCTCACTTGATCTCTAATTATCTTTTCGCCTTGGTTGTTAATCATATTCCGGATTTTGTTCTTTAGTGATGAGGGCAGCACCCGATAATACCACGCTTTTGGCCAGTCTATTTTCAAATTCAGATTCACACTTGTTGAAGGCACAAAGTTGAAGTCATTCCATCCCAGAGTAATGAGCATATTTGCATTGTACGAGTAAAATCTGCAATGAAAACGAATTATTTGCCTCATAGCTTTATGATATTTAATACTGTAAAACGACCGTTTCACAGCACCTTATACATTTTATAAGATACTGTGCACCTTATTTTACTTATACATAGTTCACTTAAAATTGTAACAACGGATTTAACTGCGGTCTTTGCGCGCACAAGAGCATAGAACACTTATATAAAAAGGCAATATCTCATTTTTTAGCTCATTCACTTCTTGTAATTAGGTACTATCATACGTAAGCAGATTAACCATAGGAATAGAGATGACCGAGAAACTGCGGTTTTCGGAAGACGCGTGCGTGTCGCGCGCGGTCGCGCCATCGTCACGAATTTTCGAATGCCCTATACTCGTGAAAGGGAGCTATTCATCCAGACGTGTTTTGAGGAGGAGGGAAGAGATTCTGTCTTGGTAAAATCACGATAATGACGAAATGACTCGCGAGCTTGAGATATTCTACTACTTACCGGTTTCCAAGCAATTGCGAATCTCATCCTGGGGTGAATGGAAAAAGTGTAAGATTACGTGCAAAGCATAGGTGACGCATCTAATCGTAAGTCTTATAACTTTTGCAAATTTTTCATGCCGTGGTCGGATAAGTGAATGCGAAGTTAGTTCTATGCTCAGAAAGACTTTTATCATCAAAACAGCTTTTCATTAAATTTGATTATCTTTTTTCGGTTGCTCTGGAAATAAACGTCAACACAACTTAAGCTTACGAAGTCCTCACTCGAATCTCTCCGTCGCTTGTGCGAGAGTATGCTTCACCTTGATTCTGGCACCTATGTTGTAAACCACGCCACCCAGCTGAAAAGTAGAGAAGATTGATAGGAAAGTGAGAAAAAAATTGAGAAATCATTTTTTCATGTTGAGTTTTCTTATGAGTTTCTCATGCACTTATCTATACCGATACATGAATTTAACGTACAATAGGCTTGTATCCAAAAAAGTAGATTATGAACATTACAATTTACATTAGTAGCCGGAATTAAACCTTGCCTATTTTTGCATCTAACAAGGGAATGGTCAGAAGTCGAAGTGGCCAATCCAAGCAAGGTGCTACCATTCGACACAGCATTCAGCGCTAACAAGGGAAGTTCGCCGCATCGAAATAGCCGATTGATACGTGGTATACACCCGGACGCGGGGCTCGGGAGGTTAGTATCAAATGTGCGCCCATTAGCTGCGACGCGTTATTGTGAAGCAAGTTATGGCCCTTTGAAGTTTTTGGCGTGTGCATGTCTAGAGTACGCACAAATGCTACGATTGTGGTCATGTGGTGTAGTGGTTAGCGTCTCGGACTCACAGGTGACCGGTGAAGGTTCGAATCCTGTTGCTGTCCACATATTCTGCGTTCTTCTCAAAAGCATTTTTTTACCTGTTTTATGCATTACTGACGTAAAAAATGACACATACGGGTGGTTGCACTCTACTAATTATACATCCTGCTGTGTCATTTTCACAAGGTAGCCCATTAGCAAGAATCAATAGTACGTGATACAACTTGGAGAGATTGTCATGTATATACTACGTGCAATCGAAGAAAGTATGTGGGAGTGAGGATTTGGCAAATCTCAAAAATCAATTGAAAAGCCGTCGCTAAAAAGTCGTTGCTATGTTCTACGAAAATCTTACATATGAAGCATTGGTCGAATTTTCGTGAGAAAAATCATCCCGTAACCCGTGTGTGTCATTTTTTACCGCAATAATGCATAAAACAGGTGAAAAATGATTTTTGAGAAGAACGCAAAACATGTGGACAGCAACAGGATTCGAACCCTCACCGGTCACCTGTGAGTCCGAGACGCTAACCACTATACCACACGACCGCAATCGGAGCATTTGTGCGTACTCTAGACATGCACACGCCAAAAACTTCAGAGGGCCATAACTTGCTTCACAATAACGCGTCGCAGCTAATGGGCGCACATTTGAGACTAACCTTCCGAGCCCCGCGTCCGGGTATATACCACGTATCAATCGGCCATTTCGATTCGGCGAACTTCCCTTGTAAGTTCGAAATATTCCATATCTGCTTAGCGCTCTGTGGACAAAGTTGAACAGTTTTACTTCGAATAAATCGAACATAAAAATTGCGACATTGAGCACATTGGTGCACTTTCAGTTGAACTTTAAACATTGAGAATATAGAATAACCTAGCTGCATGTTTTGGTCAGCAATAAGGGACTTTGTACTGCCAAGTTTGCGAGCACGCTTTCTTAGCAATATAACGGCCTTTAGTGGCACCGTCCACTCTGAGTTAGAGTCATGAATTTTTGGCAGTGTACAATAGTATGATCCCCCATCAAGCCAAAGTCCAAGTTGCGACGCAATATGTCGCTTCGGAAGCGAGAAAACAGCCTCGCAAAAGCGAAGAGACATGAGAACCCCAAGTCGCCTCCCCCCTCCAGTAATGCCCGCCCATCCGTATGCGCCCATCCAATCACCGTTCCTGAGAACAGGCCTGTGGGTTCTCCGTAACGGGAATCGTCGCGATTTCTAAAGATCCTCGACTTCATGTTCAGCATCAGGGATGAAGGCCCCGGAAGCACCGAAAATGGAAGTCGAAAATTTAGGTGGGCGGTGCCTGCAACGGTTCATAACTTCGTCTACATAAGCGCTAAGCAGATATGGAGTATAGATTCAAAGTCAGCGTTTTATGCGCATCTAATGGCATGCAGCTTGTTTGCATTGGCCACTTCGATTTGTGGCCATTACCTTGTATGGTGTGCACATTGATTTCGTGTAGGGAAATCATACTTGGTGCTGCTCTCAACATTGCAATCAGCTCATTTGTGTTTTTAAAGACGGTTATAATCACTTTTGCTTTCGAGATTCTGCATTCATTCATCTTTCAAAATGCTAAAGTGTGAGGGAACGAAATCTTTCGATGATTGAAGTTTAGAAGATGCCGAATGAGAATAATCAAAAAATGTTTTTTTTTGAACAAATGTTTTTGCCAATAGTGAACTATTGAAGGGAACACGATCGTAACTCCCTATACGATCTGTAAGACTTAGCCTAATTTATATAAGCTAGAATGGGAACACAGGCTATTTCTACTAACAAAAGAGGTCCGTTTGGTCGAAGTGGCCTTTTTACACGAATTTGATTTAACTATAAAGTGCATCAAGCGCAGATTCCAAGTCTGTCTTCGTTATCCGCCGAGCACCTCGGACGTCAAGTTATGAGCATTTTCTGATTTGAGAAGTTGAATGCATAATTAGCACAATATTGACAAAATTGCTCAAATGGTCCAATGTTGATTATCTGAGCACTCCATTTGAACATACCTTTTGTCCAAAACACTCATACCCAACACTGCTGTATCTGAGCGCTGAAAAGGCCGTAAAATTTGATTTTATCAAAAATGCGTTCTTTTTTCGCGCCAGGAAAAGATTCTTAACTCGACATACAAAGGCCTCGGCGGATAATGATCAGATTTGGAATCAGCGTTTGATCTCTTCACAGTGGCGTAAGACTCATTTTAAAAGAACACTTCGACTAATCGGACCACTCTTACAAGAAATCTTGATCGAATGTACGAATCAATTGGTTACTTATATCTCAGAAAGCAAGAACTGAGTATCGTGATGGGCAGAAATGGTCTTTAACGACATGCTCACAAAGATGCTCATCATAAAACCTTTCAGTACTTTGCCAAAAGTCAAGTTGAAGGAATTTCTTTTCTGACCTAACAAACTGTAGGACCATACCTTCGATAGTCTAGAGACAGGGCGCCAAAAGTGAAGGTTGTTTGAACATCTGACGTCATAAATAGTGAAGGTTGTTTGAAGAAGATCAGAGAAGAAAAAATGACGTAAAATAGATATAAAAAGCAAGAGAAACTGCTGAAAACCAGATAAAAATGCTGCAATAAGGTTTGAAATCTTCCGTTTGGCGGCTTTTCAAAGTGCAAGTTTTCGCTTCAAGACCAGCAATTCGCAACACGGGGTTTTAATTTTTGATGCGTCCTTTGAATTTTTACCCTCGCGCCGTCCCTCTTGTACCCTGCGACGTTGTCTGGATTCTTCCGCTCATCATTCTGAGCAATTATCGTCCAAGCTGGAGAAAATTCGTTGCGAAACCACTGAAAACGAATAAGGTAAAGAAAAACGCATTTTTTCGTAATTTTCAAAAGAAAACCGGCATAAGCAGAGAAATAAGCTCGGCAACGTTGTCTACATTATAGACAGAAACAAGACCTATCGACTACGCAAAAAAACTGCGTGAAAAGAGTCAAACTAGGAGAAAAACGAGAGATTTTCGAAAACAAGGTTTTTGCCGGATTTCTCGTTTAAATCATAAAAAGGAGTCTTGCGACGTTGTCAGCGTGAAAATAGAGATCAAGAGCTTCAAAATGATATATAGCTTGCTAAAATTGGATTCGAAACAGCGAAGAAAAGGGTACCAGAGCTAAATGCCCCGCGCCCCGCGTTTGGGGTAGCGAGGTAGCGCGCAGCGTGCGGAGACGCAGACGAGCAGCGGAGACAGACCAGAGCCGGCGGGGCATTTGGCTCTGGTCATTGATCTCCGCGGGGTCATAACAAAACCCTATAATATTATATATCGTTGTGATCCCCATGAGACGGCCAGGAGCACTGACAACGTCGCAGGTCTTGAAAATCACTCCATAACGAGATAGACCAGCATTTATGTGGCGACTCTCTGCGCAAGATTTCAGCGCAGTTTCTCGTTTTTATTGAATTCCAGCGGCTTTCGTGAACCTCCAGTCTCAATCGCAGTCTACAGAAAGGTTAATTGATAAGTTTTATCCTAATTTCTAAATGAATTTTTGAAGAAAAACCTTCTTTCCAGCAAAAAAAGGCCATAAAAACGCGATCCTTCGGTTTTTTTGAGCTTTTTCTGGATGTCACTACTATATTTGCCTCATTCACATTCATCCTTACATAGTCAGTCATTGATTATATCATAATATCCGGGCTTCGCCCCGGATGACTTCTGTATTCCTCTCCAGGTGAAGGTTGTGTCCTCTCAAGACACTCAAAGTGAAGGTCACCAGAGTACGTGGCTCTATGTATCGAAGGTATGTGTAGGACTGTGTTCTACTAACTACATATATCGAAAAAAAGACAGCGAAACAGGGAGGATTCGCTGAAAGTGAGTAGGCTTCAATTTTGAAGTTCGTCAGGTATTGCACATGGTGTGCACTAAGCATATTAAGTTACGAATGACTCGACGATAATTTGCCAGAATTTTGGAGACATGAGAAGCACACCTAATGTTTTCCTTCCCAACCTCCTCCTACACCACTAAGATCCCCTGGCAGAATATAGCATTTCCTTCTACCCTACAGTTTTCCTAAAAAAATAGTACAAAATCTTTTTTGGTTTTCGGCTCTTACTATCTCGAACTTATTTACGCAGTCATACGTCACTTAAAAATCTTTTTGAAAACAAGAAACGGTCTACAATGATGCTGCAAGTTGAGAGCATCTACAATAATTCTTCACTGACGAAATTAAGTTAAGAACAGTTTTAGTATGGCGTTTAAAAGAGGCGAAAGCTTCTGTATCAGAGTTATCAATCAAAAGTCGATACATTATCTGGACGCCATGTTTATGCTATGTTTCCGACCCCACTAAAAAAGGGCACAGATATGAAATAGTGTTCCATGTCCTAGACTATCACAAATTATACGGAAAGACGATGTCAAATGTTATTCTTCCTTATCAAAGCGTGGTTTATAGTTCAAAATTATTGGCAATCCCAAGCAGAAATTGTGGAAAATGACGACGTTTGGCACACGTTGTTTGAAGTCCTTAACATCGACTCACATACAAACGCAGACCGTTTCCATCCATGAAAGAGACATCGTTTATAATTGAAAGCTTTTTGAAGTGTATTTCATCTGCGTAAACTCTAAAGGCTCCACTCTGTAAAAGATTGATGTTTGACACAATTAAATTCAATTGATTCAATTACTTAATGTATTGTAGTCGAAGCTGAACTAACCTTCTCGTTTATTTCTGGAAAAGGAATAGATCTTACAGCATTTTCGATAAGGTACGCGTTTTTCTTGAGAAGCATCCAAGCTTTTGGCGATATCGTCAATGTCATAAGGTCTCCATGGTCATTGGTAAGGTAATCTAAGTGGTGGTCACCACTGAAATGGAACTGGATACTGCTTCGACTTTTCCTTTTCAATTATTGGGATACTACTGCTACTCAGTTCTTATGCTGTTTGCAGATATAAGGAAGACATTCAAAAATACCCTGCTAAAGAGAACAAAATCCAATCGCAAACGCTAATTATTGATACAAAATCTTCTCCATCATTCCAGATACAAAGTCCGATTGCACTTTTGTATTTGCGTTTCAGGTTTCAGGTAACCTTCCATTTTGAAGTATTAGAGTGCTCACTATTGTCTTCTCATACAAGATGTATAGAAAGTACAAGAGGTGTCACCTAGACATTTTTAAATACAGCGTGTAATGAAGTCGCTCAATACAGAAATTTTTTACAGTAAATGACTGTTTGAGCAAACATAAACGAATTTCAAAATGTACGGCGCATAAAATATTTTGCAATAGAACTTCCTAAACTTGTTAAATGGAAGAAATTTGTCCTCTGTGGTAGCCACGCTATGATTTCACACAGAAAACACACTGCTGAATCGTAAAGCTTGAGGATGAACGCTAAAAACAAGCGTTGCAGGCGTTGATGGTGCACTCAAAGTGAAGAAGAGGAGAAACAAGAAACAGTTAATTCTATGCGTTTTGACATTAGAAAAGATGAAAGCAAGTAAGCGAAGACCAGTGTATTAGAACGTTTTCTATTGAAATGCTGAGCTAGGAAAGCCATGTTGGTTTCACCATTAGATGTTTTGCGTGATTAGTGCGCAGTTAAGATATACTTATTCTTGAGAGATTATCTTCATCAGCTTGCATCGTAAAAGTGGTTAGGGGCCGTGGTAAAGATACGTAATATTACTGAAGTGAAAAAACTGACCTTATGGTACACACAATGAAAATAGTTATTAATACAACGGCTAACATTGCTGTTTGTTATACGATCAGTTGTTCCACATTTTATACCGAGTCAACTCTATCGAAAATCTTATCATTTGTAATATCTTGCATACATTATTTTAAACTGTCGATAAGCTGGCTAGTTTAAACAGCGTACTATAACTATTGAGATATGCTAAGACGTAGACATGTTTTTCACTTTGTACGAATCTTCTTTCACTGGTTATAGCGATATCAAATGACCGAGCATGTGAAGTGTTTTTGCAAGCTTGAGTTTTTGAGTATTCTTATCTCTTTTGTACGAATTTCTTCACCAGCTATTATGACTGTCGACTAAACAGGCATGTAAATTAGCTTAGCGTATATTACTGTTTTACTTTCTTGGCATACAAAGCGGGAAATATTCTGCGAGTTTTGTGCATGGGAGACGATCCCTACTGCTTGCGATAAGAAAAGAACCGAGTGGTAGTAGCAGATTGTAAAATTTTGTTCTTTGCCTATGGATTTTTCGAAAATAGAGTAAGGTGGAGGAATCATACACTCGCTATTTGTCCATCTAAAGTACGGTCCATGAAACAAACAAAGCTCTATGAAAATCGAACGCTCGTAAAACTGAAAGAAAAGGGCTTTTGATGACATGAACAATGTTTATGATGAAAAATGGTTTTACTTCTTAGAACTACCCAAAGTGAAATTCAAGAAGCTAGTACTTTCAAAATAATCCAATACTATGCTTTAGCTCCCATGGATTATGGTGATGGGCCGACACATCGTTTTTGGGTGTCAAAATCTTGGCTAGTAAAGAGTCATGACATCAAATTTCTGTAGAAGCTATTTGGCTGTGGACAGTCTGAAGCTAATAACACCAAACGGTTCCTGAAACTCACCATGGGCATGTCCATATAAAAGCTGTACAATATTCTAAGGTGTTCAACAAAAAAAAAGATTTTAGGCTGTTCCTTTAGACAACATAGATAGAGGTCTTTATTGGAAGCAAGCACTCTGCTTCCACGGTCGTTTGCCCTAGCTTGAACGGAATCGTTTGAAAAACCACTATTTTGTTTGGAGTCCAACGTTGTATCATTGATTGAAACGGCTCCCACTTTCATTTTTTGATGAGAAATTAAAAATTGGGAAAGCATGTTTCAAGGCTGGTCACAGCTACGATAAGATGCCACCTCCTATTTCCGAGTACTACTATACTGTTTAAATCTCAGATCTTTTGTACAGCTATAGCATTGGACAGAAATAACTTTCATCTTTTTTATCAGCCCCTCGGCGCTACGATAGGCAATAAATGGCAGTATGCTAAAAGGTCTTGGCCCCAAAAGGCGAACAACTGAAAACTATGCGTAATTGTCATTGTGTTGAAAAATGTACTAATACTTAAAAATAGGAGGTGGTCTTATAGCTGCGACAACTTCCGAAACAGACTTATAATTTTCCAATTTTCACCCAATCAATGTAATTGACAGCCTGTTAGTTAATGATATAAAGTGGCCTACATATAAAATGCTGTTTTTTCAGACTTCGTTCAAAAAAGGGCAAATTGCCGTGTTTCCTAGGGTGGCTTTATATATGTAGTCACCAATCTATATATTTGCCAAAGTATAGTAGTTTTGGTTTGGAAAATACTCCAAAATTTCAATACAGTAAATGTTTTAGTACTTTCATACTGAATTCCCTACTACTTGAATTGTCGGACATCAGTATGGGTAAGTCAAAATGGCAAAAGGGTCGTATGCTAGTACATAATGCGAAGTCATTCGTAACATAATATGCGTTGAATTGACAGGCATGCTGGCTTGTCCAATCAAAAATTAAATTTCTAAGAATCTGTTTTTTTTCTTTTTTCCAACTCAAATCGGACACGAAAATAGCAGTACGCATTTCAATATTTTGTTGCTTTAGGAATGGTTTTACTGATTTATTATTGGTAAGTAGTCGTCAATTGTATTGTGCAGACTCACACATTACGTTACAAATGATTGGCCTATACTTATTACAAAACTACGAAGCAACTTTCTTTTGCATCTATAAACTTAAAAAAGTGAGCCTTCGTTCAGGTTCCCTTCGTTCCTTCATTGCATAAATTGTACAATATTGTTAACTCTACGTAAAACACACAAAAGTCTCAGCTCACTCTACAACAAAGCTATCCCGCTATACAGTGAAAGGAATTTAAAATTCTATTGAGGATGAGAAATGAAGAATAGCTCGCTTGAATGAGCATAACCAAGTACCAACTTACACCTTTCTAATCCAAGGCTCTAAAAAACAAAGTATTGGATTTTTTCACAAACGGTTACTACATTCGTAATCAGCATGCTCGACTACCCCTTGTGCCCACTCCCAGTCCCGTAGCTCAAACTTTGCAAAAAAAATCGATAAAATCGATAAAACTAATAGACGATTTCGGAAACTAATATTGTACTCGTAATCAGCACACCCAATTACCCTCCTGTGCCAACTCCCAGCCCAAACCTTGCAAAATCGATAAAAATCGATATCGATCGATAACGAAAAGTAGCCTACGACACCCGCCCCGCCCCGAAGCGTATGTGTGCCAAGTTTGTCCGGATCGGTCCAGAAATAAAAAATAATAAATTTCTATTCGGAACATACGTACATACAGCTTTATATATAAGATTTTTTTGAAATATTAGGTTGTCTGCAAATTAATGTCCGTTTTGAATTGCAACCGCAATAATTCAAACACTTTTCATTCTTAAATATGCTTCAGCGTAACGTTCGATAGAGCAAAGTAAGCTCTACAAGATGGTTATCTTACTTTAGCAACAGCTCTGATCTACCTCGAGTTTCGAGCCAAAAACTAAAAGGATTTAACCTCCCGAAAAATCGAGAAAAATCATAACTCAGTTCATAAGAACCCTACAGAAATTCTAACTTGCTCACGTAAACACTATCTACATAGGACATATATGTACGCCGTTGCGGTATTTTTTCTCTGTTAGAAATCAAGAAAACGGAAATTTTCATGCTTTTGCCAAAGTGATGTTGTGTCGTCCCCACATAAGTAGATATATACTACAAATTTGTAAAAGTACAAACGTGGATTTTCGGCTCTCTACAAGCTTTAGTTCTCGAGAAATTCGAATTTTAGCTTGGACCACCTGACTAATGAAAGCTATATTCGATATTTCTCAAGAACGAAAGCTTATAGAGAGCTAAAAGTTTACGCTTGTACTTCTACAGGTTTGTAGTATACAACTACTTATGTGGGAACGGCACAGCACCACTTTGGCAAACGCACGAAAATTTCCGTTTTCTTGATTCTAACAGAGAAAAAAATACCACAACGGCGTACATATATGTCTTATGTGGATAGTGTTTACGTGAGCAAGTTAGAATTTTTGTAGGGTTCTCATGAACTGAGTTATGATTTTTTTCGATTTTTCGGGCTATTGAGTCTTTTTAGTCCTTGGCTCGAAACTCGTGGTAGATCAGAGCTATTGCCAAAGCAAAATTGCCATCTTGTAGAGCTTGCTTTGCTCTAGCGAATGGTACTTTGAAGCCTATTCAAAAATGAAAAGTTTTTGACTTATTGCGGTTGAAATTCAAAACGGACATTAATTTCCGGACAACCTAATACAAACTTACGATGATTCTTCAGACACATCTCATCACCCTTTTTTGCATTTTACCGCTCTCATCCACGGTCTTGCCATAGGATTTGTTTTGTTTTCATTTCTACCCCTGTCTGCATGAAGTGCTCTTCTTGAACTAATGACTGTCATGACTTAAGGGAGTTTTCTTCCTCTCACAATTGTTCCATTATCAACTGTGAGCCCCTAACACCTTTTGCAGCTTTGTTATGCGTATCATCCATGTCAAGTCCCTCATCGAGAATTTTTGAATGCAAGAGGTTATTACCAAGACTGCCTTTCAAAAGTGCTGACCTTCTAGCCATACTTTTTGCCTTAAGTCTACATCGTTTAAGTTTAGACGACTAGGTAGTGACCACTTACCGTTTGCTTCAACCAGATCGGCGCGGAGAGGGGGTTCCATGGCTTATTTGAGGGTAGATGATCAGAGAGCACGAGCGAGAGAGACGCAGGCTGCGTCGCGGGCGCGAGCGGCCTTAAGGACGCCGATCTGGTTGAGGCGGAGGGTATGCT